AACTGTGATGCGTATCGATCAAGTTTGCTGCAGTTGTACATCCCGGCTTTTTCCGGGATGGCCACCAGACGATCAGCGTCGGAAGTGGAAAAGAAAAAAAAGAAGAAAAAAAAGGAAGGAGCAGCAGAAGAAAAATAGACCTATCATGCCGCTTTTTGGCCTTCCCTTTGCACCTACAGACACCAGCTGCCAACGTTTTTCCTGCACCATATCAAATCGTCATAGAAGAAATCGTACTCAATGCTGGAAAAGTAGAACAATACAAATCCCCTTGCCAAATGCATTGAACACACTCGATGTGATTACAGACGACGAAGACGAAGACGAAACGTTAATCCCTCGAACAAGCACGCAAACAATGCAATCCACACTCTTAACTCGACTCGTTATTGTTGATGAATAATTACAATTGGCATGAAGAGTAATTACTGTCAGGGTGCAGCGGCCTGACCGTCGGATGATGAAGCCAACATGATGTCCTTGAGCGCAGGGCGGAGTTCGTCGCTGCAGAACCTTTGGTACTCGAGGGTGTCGCCGCCGTCCTTCTTGACCGCCACCACGAGCACCGACGGAGCCACCGCGAAGATCTGCGCGGCTATTGCCAGCTTTCCCTTCCTTCCCCGCTGCTCCCCCTCCAGCCTCACCCCCGTCATGCTGCTCTTCGTCACCCGGTACTTCCCTGCCGTTATCGCAGCCACGCCCTCCAGCCGCGACACTACCACGCTGGCCGGCTCCCTTGTCGCGAACCGCATCTCCTCCTCCCTCCTTTCGCCTCCCACAAACAGCGGCGAGAGATCGAACCCGTCCGAGAACGATATCAGATGGAACGCGTTCAGCGTCTCCGGCTCCTCTCCGTCTTTCTTCGCCCATTCTCTGTCTCCGTTCTCCCCCACGGCCGCCGGCGCAGGCACCCCTTTCGGCACCGAAGACTTCTTGAACCACGGGATCTCCATGAGCTTGCCGACGGTGATTCTCGTGCTGGGGATTGGGTCGAGTAGCTTGGTGATGAGCCTTCGGGCGTCCGACGAGAACCACGGAGGGCACCGGAAGTCGCCGCGCCGAATCTTCTTGTACATGGCGAGGATGTTCTCATCGTGGAACGGCAGAAACCCTGCGAGGAGAATGAAGAGGATGACGCCGCAGGACCAGAGATCGGCCTTGGCACCGTCGTAGCCCTTCTTGCCGAACACCTCCGGGGCGACGTAAGCCGGCGTACCGCAGGCAGTGTGGAGGAGCCCGTCGGGCCGGACGTGCTCGGCGAACGCGCTGAGTCCGAAATCGGCAATCTTGAGGTTGCCCTGATCATCCAACAGGAGGTTCTCCAGCTTGAGGTCCCGGTGGTAGACGCCGCGACCGTGGCAGAAGTCGATGGCGGAGACGAGCTGGCGGAAGTAGTTGCGGGCGGCGTCCTCCCGAAGGCGGCCGGAGCGGGCAACCTTGGCGAAGAGCTCACCGCCGCGGACGAGCTCCATGACGAAGTAGATCTTGGAGCGGGTGGCCATAACTTCATAGAGCTCCACGATGTTGGGGTGGCGGACCATCTTCATCACCGAGATCTCGCGCTTCACCTGCTCCATCATGCCCACCTGGATCACCTTCTCCTTGCCCACCACCTTTATCGCCACGCTCTTGCCAGTGAGGAGATTCCGCGCGAGGTGCACCTTCCCGAAGGTGCCCTGTCCTATGACCCGGCCGAGCTCGTAACGGCCGTGCAGGACGCTGCGGCCTTCCGAAGACTGCGAGGGCGGTGGCACGTCCTCCATCTATATATCTATACTACTTGCACAAGATCTTTCTTCTCTCTCAAAGACAACAACGCAACAAGTCAGAGACGGTGGTGTGGAAGTGGTGCAGATGGAGTCTACCCGTCCTCGACGTGCTTCCGGTGGCACGTCCTGCCGGCGTGCTTTCTTGGCTTCCGGCCACCCCCGAGTTCACAGTATGATCTCCGTATCATCTTGCTGCATCACCTGACAGAGACACCATACACCCAACCCTGCTGACGTACTTCCGAGGTCTTCCAAGGGAGAAGAAAGATAAAGCAGAGGAAGGGAGTCTCCTACGGCGGCAAAGATTAGGACAGTGCGTGCGGCCTCATCGGCACTTGACAAGGGGCTCATGAAGGGGTAGCCCATAACATTGAAAAGACTCATTTACCCTTCAATTCACTAGCTGTTAACGGTGCACAATGGCGGTGTGGTGGCCGCAAAGCGGGGTACAACGGTCTTATCATCGAAAGATTCTCGTCCTTGTGATGGAGATCGAACGATGTTGGCATCCGTTGTCGTTTTCTGCGGGCGACCGAGACGTTGAGATCAGTAGAGAAAAAGGACGGCTGGGATTTGCGCAAGCGCGAGGCGAACAGGCTGTCGCAGTCTTTGCCTCGTCGTATCACCGGAGGCCTCTCGATTCGATCCTGGCCGTCCGATGGTTCGGCGCGCCGCACACAGGTTTCGTGTTCGAGAACTGCAGAGTCGTGGTTTTGGTCTTCGTTCTCAAGGGGTTTCGGCTTCCAGCAGTTCTCATGTTCATCGAGTTGAAACCCACCGAAGAAACTGAAAACTAGTGCTCCACATGGTTTTCGTCCGGTCTTTGAAACCAGAGGTAAAAACGATTAGAGATTTGATTTTAGTTATCATGATATAGTAGTTACGGTATAATTTCAATAACTACCTCAATCATAATCTAGAAATAGTTTCAATAACTACTTCAATCTAGTAGTTATATGATAGTTATCATTAGGTCTTATAAATAGGGTCATAGTTCATGAAGATATAGAGAGTATGTGCATTTGATATCTTGTAAGTATTCCCAACATTTATGGTATCAGAATCTAGTTTCAATCTGAACTGGGCATTATGGCTTTCAACAGTAATTCCATATCTCAACCCCTTATTCTCATCTTCTCGGGAAAAAACTATGAATTATCTTTTGGACTTAATAGAGAATAGATATGCGGATCCAAATACCGAAATCAAGCTGAGGGAGAATAGAAAGAAGGACTCAAAAGCATTATTCTTCATTCAACAAGCTGTACATGAGACAATCTTTTCAAGAATTGCAGCAACGACAATCTCAAAGCAAGCTTGGCTGATACTTCAAAATGAATTTAAAGGCTCATCAAGGGTGATTACGGTAAAACTTCAAACCCTCAGTCGTGAGTTTAAAATTTTGTTCATGAAAAGCAATGAATCAATACAAGATTTTCTTTCTCGAGTGATTGAAATTGTTAGTCAAATGAAATCTTATGGTGAACATCTTTCTGATCATATAATTATTACAAAAGTTTTGAGAAGTTTAACTCCGAAATTTGATCATGTTGTTGTTACAATTGAGGAGTCAAAAGATTTATCTACATATTCATTTGATGAACTAATGGGTTCCTTGCAAGCATATGAAGCAAGGTTGAACAGGTCACTTGAAAAAAGTGAAGAAAAAACATTTCAAGTTAAGGAGGAGTCTTCTACTTCAAAAGAAGATAAAAAATCAACAGGAAGAGAACGTGGCAGAAGAGGATTTTGTGGTAGAGGAAATGGAAGAGGAGGAAGACACAAGAAGCTATGTGGAGAAAAATGAAAAAAATAATAAGTTGTTTACGACTCATTCATAAGTTCGTAATATCTCAAATGATATTTGGTTTCTGGATAGTGGATGTTCTAATCATATATTAGACATAAAATCAATATTTAGAGATATTGATGAAACTCACAAGTTGAACGTTAGACTTGGAGATAACAAGCAAATCCAAATGGAAGGGAAAGGAATAATTGAGATGAGACAAATCAAGGGAAGGTAAAATACTTTGATAATGTTTTCTTTGTTCCTACTTTATCACATAACTTGTTAAGTGTTGAACAATTAGTAGATGATGGATATTTAGTAATATTTGATGATGGTTCATGCACTATTAAAGATAAAAAATATGGTTTGATTATAATCAATGTTTGCATAATGCAAAACAAGATGTTTCCATTTGATGTGTCAAATATTGAAAGGCATGCGCTTGTCGTAACTCAAAAGAATGAGTCTAATTTATGACATTTAAGATATGAACATCTTAACATTAAGGGTTTAAGGTTGTTAAGTCAAAAAGGAATGATTTTCGGATTGCCCAAGATTAATACACTTGATGTATGTGAAGGATACATTTATGGCAAACAAAGTAAAAAATCATTTCTTATTAGAAAAACATGGAGAGCATCTAATTATCTTGAATTAATTCATGCTGACTTATGTGGACCAGTGAATACAAAATCATTTGATGGAAGTCAATATTTTATATTATTTACTGATGATTATAGTTAGTATATTTTCTGAAATTGAAATATGAAACATTTGATAATTTTTTAAAGTTTAAGACACTCGTAGAAAGACAAAGTGGTAGATATATAAAGACACTTCGGACAGATAGAGGTGGTGAATTTTTATCTAATAAGTTTAGTTCTTTTTGTGAAGAAAATGGTATTTACAGAGAATTGACAACATCATATACACCGGAGCAAAATGGTGTAGCTGAATGTAAGAATCGGACAGTCGTTGAAATGGCAAGAAGTTTGCTTAAAGGAAAACATCTTCCAAATCAGTTTTGGGCAGAAACAGTTGCAACAGCAGTTTATTTATTGAATATTTCACCAACAAAGGCTATTATGAATCAAACTCCTTTTGAGACTTGGTATGGTATGAAACCAAGTATTAGACATCTAAAATTTTTTGGTTGTATTGCTTATGCTTTGGTGAATTCACAAAATCATCACAAGCTTGATCAAAAATCTGAAAAATACATCTTAATTAGTTATTCCTTATAATCGAAAGTATATCGATTATATAACCCTGTTAGTGTCAAAGTTATTATTAACAGAAATGTTATGTTTGATTAAAGGGCAAGTTGGAATTGGGAGGCCAATAAAGGTGGAACACAAATACATATTCCAACAGAACTAGACACTCCGTATAATCGAATAACAGATCCTGCTCCAACAAGTTCATCGTCAACCTCACCTAATAGCAATTCAAATTTGGATTCCTTAGATGAAACCCCTTCAAGATCACTATAAAAAATTTATAACTCAACATTTGCTTTGTTTATTTCAGATCCAACAACTTTTAAGGAAGGAGTTGAAAAAGAGGAATGGAGAAAAGCAATGAAAGAGGAAATCAAGTGAATTGAGAAGAATGAAACTTGGGAGCTAATGGATCTACCGAAAGAAAAGAAAGCGATTGGGTTAAAATGAGTGTTCAAAACAAAGTTTAATGCAGATAGAAGTATCCAAAAGCATAAGGCACGACTTGTAACAAAAGGATATTCACAGCAACAAGGTATTGATTTTAATGAAACTTTTTCTCTGATTTGAAACCGTGAGAACTTTCTTAGCTTTAATTGATCACTTGAGTTGGCATGTTTATTAATTTGATGTGAAATCTGTGTTTTTAAATAAAGATTTATATAAAGAGATTTTTGTTACTCAACCTGAATGTTTTTTTATTAAAGGACATGAAGAAAAGGTGTATAAGCTAAGGAAAGCTCTTTATGAGCTTAAAAAACTCCAAGGGCATGGTATAGTAAAATTTATCATTATTTTCTTCAAAATGAATTTAAGGGGAGTAATAATGAACCTACTCTTTATCTAAAGAAGGAAGGTGAATATAATATTCTATTGGTTTGCCTCTATGTTAATGATATTATATATATGGGTTCATCTAACTCTTCTATGGTAGAATTTAAAAAATGTATGATGAATAGTTTTGAAATGTCAAATCTAGGTCTACTGCACTATTTTCTTGGGTTGGAAGTAAAACAAGGTTCAGATGAAAATTTTATTTTACAAAGAAAGTATGCAATGGATCTACTCAAAAAATCTAATATGATTAATTGCAAAGCTGCAGCAACACTCATGAATGTAAATGAGAAATTGAAACTTTAAGATGGTACAAGTCTGACAAACGTAAGATACTATAGAAGTTTGGTTAGAGGTTTAATTTATCTAACTCATACTCGACCAGATATTGTATTCTCTATTGGTGTAGTATCCAGGTTTATGCATAGCCCAAGCAAACATCATCTCGGAGCTGTTAAAAGAATTCTGCGTTATATTGCTAGAACTACAGATTATGGTATTTGATATTCTCATAATTTTAATTGTAAATTATCTGATTTCACTGATAGTGATTGGGCAGGATCTTTAGATGATAGAAAGAGTACTTCAGGCAATGTTTTTAGCCTCGGATCGAGAACTATATCTTGGAGTTCTATAAAGTAATCGATAACTGCGTTATCGACATTGGAAGTAGAATATGTAGCCGTAACATCAGCAGCTTGCCAAGCAATATGGCTTAGAAGACTTCTTGAAGATCTTCATCAAAAACAAAAAGAAGCAACAAAAATATTTTGTGATAATAAAGCCACAATTGCAATGACGAAGAATCCAACGTTTCATGAAAGAACGAAGCATATAGAGATACGCTATCATTTCATCGGAGATCTTGTAGCAAGTGGAGCCATAGCAATGAAGTATTGTGGAACAGATGAGCAAGTTGCAGATATCCTCACCAAGTCGCTTCTAGTTCAAAAGTATATTTATTTAATATCGTAAATCGGTGTATGTAAGTATGAATTAAGGGGGAGTGTTGAGATTTGATTCATAGTTATCTAGGTAGTTATCATGATCTAGTAGTTACATGATTTCAATAACTACCTCAATCATGATCTAGTAGTTATAAGGTGGTTTTAATAACTACAATCATGATCTAGTAGTTATAGGGTAGTTATCACTAGGTCTTATAAATAAGACCATAGTTCATGAAGAAGGATATAGAGAGTGTGTGCATTTGATATCTTGTAAGTGTTCTTGTGAATCCTCCTATTTTTAATACTATAATAGTATTCTGTTTTTTTTTTTTCCTTTCTCCTCAATTCCCCAACATTTTTCGTCCAAAGCTGTCTTTGAAACCAAAGGTAAAAACTTGCACCGCGTGATATATGGGAAGTTCTCATGCAATGGTCTCTCTTGTCCTGGTGTTCATCATTCTTGTATACTAATGGTTGAAGGACAGCATGAATCATGAGCATAAACAAAGCTAAAACTTTTGGCTATATCTGAGACGAAAA